AAAAAATGCATGAAAAAAATCTTGAGCAACATAATGCTGTTTTCACACTTCAGGTGCTCATTGCAAATGATCAACATAAAAATCAACATGGTAACACACCTTGCAATGATGGTAGAGAAAAAAGGCTGAGAAGCCAAAGTAAACCAGAAGAGTCAAAGGTCAGAGATGTGTAAATGTTTCCTCCAGCAAATTCTTCATTATAAGAACTGTTTAGTTCATTAAAACCCATTACACTAGCTCTCCCTAAAGATTGGACTCAAGATCAAAATGAATAAAATGTGGGACCTTTTATACTAAAAATGTACTCTAGGACTAAAAGCAATGTAAAATGACTTCATCTCCAAAATGACCAACATCAGTATTTGACCATTTCAGAAGTCATCGTCAAACAAAATCTCTTTATCAGGATATTATTTCCCCTTACCATCATTGAAGCTCAGGTCATGCACAGCACCTCTAAAGTAGCCGTCCTCAACATCATCATCTTCATCCAAGCCCCTATTGGAGCGTGTCTTACCACTATCAAGGAAGCTCAGATGAGCACAACAAGAAGTGGTCAGGAACTCAGATAACTTGCCCGTCTGGATCCTAGGAAATTGAGAGCAGCAAGCAAGTAAGCTGAAACTGCCCTTGAATATGTATTGTTGATGACATTATATTTATTTATAGCCTCATTGCCTGACCGTGCCCCTCCAAAATAGCCATCCTGTAGCTTCTTAAGGGTAGCCAGCACAGCAGGGTCCAAGTCTGTGTGTTCATTGTCTAAGAAGAAAAGCACAAAAAATTGGGGGAAAAAACTACACACTTATCCACATTTACATTTTTTTAGATGACTCCACATTACCAGGGATGCAAATTTTCACTCACTAAGCATGGTCTGGGAAATGGGAAAGGTTACGGTAGGACGGCCAGTCATCCTCCAGCGAGAAGATAGGTAAGACAGGTCAGTGCGCAACATTTCCACAATCATCTTGTTGTCCAGGGCCAGATAGAACTGCTGGTGATCTATGAACTACCGGGGAGTAACAAAAGAGAGAAAAAATGATGAAAAACATTTGCCATTCAGCATATATTTTAAAAGCTGTGACCATCTTTCTGTGGCTTTAGCCTCACCAACTCATTTTATTTAACTTCTGCTGAATGATAATCAGTGGCTCTCTAAGTCCGCATAAGGCTCAAACATGCCTACTTTAGCACATTATGAAGAACCTGAGGTGTGAAGCTAAAGATGGTGTTGCGGACGATGTACAGCTTGGAGGTTCCCAACACTCCAATCCTACGGTAAGGTCTGCCGGTCAGCCCCAGTCTCTCATTA